AGAGGGACATCATGCTTGGGAGGGTGGAGGGACAGCGCAGGAGGGGAAGACCCTCTATGAGATGGATTGATTCGGTGACTGGGGTAATCGGGATGGTTGTGTCAGAGGCGGTGTGGTTGGCGCAGGATAGAGCAGGGTTTAGAGCTGTTGTGCATAGGGTCGCTATGAGTCAAAACGACTAGATGGCACATAACAACAACAACAACAACATGTGTAGTCTGATTAAAAATTCTTTTGGATTTAATGCTGTGAATCTCTTATTTTAAAGATAAAGGGATTTATCCAGAAAAAAAACAAACCCCAAAAAACCAACAAAAACAACAAACCCCACAAAACCATGCTGAAAACATTAATCTAAACAACTTTTAAGAAAAAAACCAATCCAAAACAAACTTGATTTCAATTTTCTGTTATGCACCAGCTTTTAAGCTTTGGTCATACCATACCTCCTTTTCTAAATTGCTAACATCCAGGTTACCCCAAATCCCCTGAGACAAGTGTGAACTTTCACTGCTTGCTTTCTCATGACTTAGCACCTGCGGTGTTTTTCTGCAGAGGGGCCAGGATAACCCCGGCATTCCTGTCTTCACTTTCCGAGTTGTACAAGTTATGCTTTTCAATGTACTCTTGCACGAGATCTGGGACCAAGTAGCGAATGCTCTGGCCCCTTCGCAGAGCTCGCCGGATTTTCGTGGAAGAAATGTCATTGGTGATCCACTCGTCCACCAGGTGAATGTTGCTCCGGTGTTTCCACAGCACATCTGACTCATAGATGAACTTCTGCGCATCATTTCCGGCCCGAGTGATGCAAATGAGACCGTAGACTCCCACGATTTGGGCAATGTCCTCACTCTTCCACAAACTGGGGACGCCAAAGGACTCTAGTAAGTCTGCCCCACACAGCAACTTCACCTCTGGCATACCTGGACGGATGAGTAAAGTACAGCATTGGTACGTGCATTCCTGACAACTTCCTGCCTCAAAATATATTTTTCTGGAAAGAGGTACCACAACTTTCATAACAATCAGATTTTTTTAAAAAAAAACCCATTATTTTTGTGTGTGTGCACCGTCAAATCAGATCTGACTGGTACCGGAAGAGACTGCTCCTCCTTCTCCCGCAGAGCTTCTGGTGGATTCGAACTGCATACCTCTGGGATTGCAATGCAGCTTCTTGCCACTAGGCCACCAGAGCTCCCCAACAATCAGATTTCTAAAAAAGGTTTAGGACAACTCAAAACTTAAGAACTACTGCAGGAATTAATATTTTGTCATAAGTTCCCCACATTCATCAACAGTAATCAATGTTATAAATCAAAATATCTATGAATGATGGTATGAAAAAGAATTTGATGACTGGATGATTTGTGACTGCATGCCCTTTGGGGTGGCAACACAACTCCTTACCCAGTAGGCTACCAGAATTCCACTTATTGAATATGAAATAAAAAACACAAAAAGAATCAATTCACTCTAACAAAGAATACAAAACAATTTAAAAACAAAAGGACTGTAGGAGAAATAAGCTCAAGGTGACTTTTGCTTCTTTTACTTCTTCCTTCATAAAATCGACAAAGGGATATTTCCCAGGCATCCACTTATTCAGTGTTGTTATGTGCCATTGAATTGGAAACAACTCATAGCTGACCTTCCAGTGGGTTTTCAGGGGAGTAAACTGCATGGAAATACTGTCCATCTTTCTCTCTTGAGAAAACTAGTGAATCTGAACTGTATGCCTTTGCGATGGCAGCACAATTCCTTACCCACTAGGTCACCAGAGCTCTACTTACAGAATATGAAAAGTGCAAAAAGGATTAATTCAGGTAATAAGTCTGGACCTTCCATCTGGTGGCTCGTCTGGGAGAGGTCTTCTTCAACAGACCTTTCCTCAATGCAGGTCAGGACTGCATTTCCTCAATGCAGTTCTGGGACTGGAGCCTTTCAGTACCACTGCCTGACTCAACAACCTGAAGCCTTAACAAACTGGATGGCCCATGAGACAGTGCCTGTCAACCAGCTTTTAATATCAACCAATTCCACTAGAGCCCCCTTCAATGTAAGACCCCTCCCATGGCTTGGCCCCATTTTAGCACAAAGCAGTTTTTAGATCTTCACCCCTTTTCCCTTTACTTTAAGTTGGGAACAGAAGGTTGAAACCAAAAGGATTCCATTTTGCTGACCTTCTGACCCTACCTGAATACATTTCTGTGTTCCAGGAAATAGTAAACAATCTGATTAATGTTTATCTCAAAACGTGGTTTTATGATCCACTCCAGGAGATAAAACAGGGAGTGCTGAATGGCCTGGACCCTTGACACTGCTCTGACCATCCTCAACCATCCAACACAGAATAGATAAATACCTTTGTTTGGTGCTGAAGTTAAGTGAGCCTCTCAGTCTGCTTTCAGCAAAGTGGGTTTTTAGAGGAAGTATTTAATTCAGCCCTTATTCCTGCTGGGTGTGGCAGACTTAATTCTGACTCTAACCCATAAGACACAGAAGAACTTGGCTGTAATCTTTATGGAGACAGGTTACCAGGCCTTTCTACTGCAGAGCCTCCCCAGAATCTTACAAACTCTAGTCTGTTAAGTCTCTGTAAAACACACAAACCTTTTGTTTTCAGCTCAAAGGGTTTCTTTGGACTAAATTCTTGTTTTTGTTCAGACCTCTTTCTCTTGCGTCCAGGTCTCTCCTGAGCTGGTGAGTCTTCCTGGCTGTCAGAGTAAACAGCTTCCAGTTTCTCCTGATGGTGTCTAAAACAATAGAAACAAAACAAAACTCCTTGTCAACAATGCTCAGATCAAATACTGTCCCTCTTGAGATGCCTAAGAACCTCTGACTCAATGTTAAAGTGAAAGCAAGCTTCAAAACGTTTAACCACTGGTACCCTGAGACACCACCATCTCATCTGTTACCCACACTGTGATGGTTTCTGTTCTATCCTGATGCTGGGAGCTTTGCTGCTGGTATTTCAAATAGGGAACTTCCAAAACAAGACAGAATAGGAAGAAAGATTTGGCAATCTACTTCTGAAAGGTACCCATTGAAAACCCTCACAGAAGATCAGAAGAGAATATTGACTAATATGGTGCTGGAAGATGAGCCGTCTCCTTAAGACAGAAGGCCTCCAAGACAGAAAATCTTTGCCAAAATGGGACTGCGCGTATGAGGGATTGTGAGGACGGTGTGGGATTGGGCAATGTTTAATTCTTTTTTTATTTTTTTTATTTTTTTTTTATTATTTTTGTGTGCATGTACCCTCAAATCAGATCTGACTGGTACAGGAGGAGATTGCCCCTCCTTCCCCGGCAGAACATCTGGTGGATTCGAACCGTGCACCTCTGGGAGCAATGTTTAATTCTTTTGTACATGGGACCACAATGAGTCACAGCTGACTTGATGGCAACTAACACCATCACTGAGCCCTGGACACAGAGATGAATGCTGGATAGGACATGGTACTGACAGGCCACAGGGGTGAAAAGCAAGGAAAATCTTGGGAGCACAACCAATAGCAGCTCTTACTAGCCAAAGCTCAGGGACTATACCTGAGTGTGATTCAGGCCATGGTCTTTCTAATTACTAGCTATGCATCCAAGACCTGGACAATGAATAATGATGACAGAAAAAGATCTGATGCTTTTGAGTTGTGGTGCTGGAGAAGAGCACTGAACATCCCAGGGATGGCCAAGAGAATGAACAGATATATCTTGGAGAGGGTGCAACCAGAATGCTCTTTGGAGACAAGAATGATGAGGCTTCATCTAACAACTTTGAACATGTTGATAGGAGGTGCTATTCCTTGGAGAAGGACATGATGTTGGAAAGGGTGGAGGGTTGGTGAAGGAGAGGAAGACCACCCTCAACCAGGTGGACTGAAGACGACTACTGCAATGGGCTCTAGTGTGTCAGGAAGTGTGAGGACGGTGCAAGACAGGACTGGTTTCAGATCTTTTGTTCATAGGGTCACTATGAGTCATACTCGATTCGATGGCACCTAACAACAACAACAACATACATGTGTCCTAATAAAGAGAACTACCATTAATTATTATGTCAACTACATTATATAGGGGAGCTCTCGTGGCCTACTGGTAAGATGCTGTCCTACAATCCTGAAGCCACACTATTTGAGTCCACCAGCTGCTCCTCGGGAGCAGGATGGGTAATCTCCTCCCATGCGATTAACTGCCTCTGAAAACCCGCTGGAGGGTCAGCTGTGGGTCGGTTCAGACTCTATGGTACACAATAACAAGAACAACAACTACATTACACCCTTTACATAGGTTATCTGACTAAACTCTCGATTTCTTTTCTTTTTGTAAGTTTTAATTTTAATTGTGATTTTAATGAACGTTTACAGAGAAGTTAGATTTTTATTCATTCGTTGTTGCATATACACTCTCAATTTCTTCTGTTCATAAAAGAGTATTCATCTCCATAATGAGAGGTGGGAGGGATGTATAGAGAGAGGCTTAGAGTTAGAACTCTAGCTCTCAGCACAGTCCCTGGAGCACAGCAGGTATTCAATAAAAATAGGACTGAATGGATGTTTTTGTTATGTTCCACTATTTTAATGGAGAATTGATGCCTTTGAGCTGTGGTGCTGGAGAAGAGTATTGAGAATACCATGGACTGCTAGGAAAACAAACAGATTTGTCCTGGAGAGGGTTAAACCGGGTGGCTCCTTGGAGGCAAGGATTCTGAGGCTCCGTCTAACATACTTTGGACATGTTGTGAGGAGAGACCGGTCCTTAGAGAGGGACATCATGCTTGGGAGGGTGGAGGGACGGCGCAGGAGAGGAAGGCCCTCTATGAGGTGGATTGATTCAGTGACTGGGATAATTGGGATGGGAGTGTCAGAGACAGTGCTATTGGCACAGGACAGAGCAGAGTTTAGGGCTGTTGTACATAGGGTCGCTATGAGTCACAGGCGACTCGACGGCACATAACAACAACAACAACAACATTCTAATGGATGTTTACTCCTATTTTATCAATATAACTAGGTTCCACAGATCATGGTGTCATGTGAAAACTGGCATTATGAAAAAATGGAAGATTTTCTTTTTCCTTCTGTCTTCACATCATCCATTGGTCAATACTTTTTAAAAATGATCACAGAAATAATAACAGCTAAGAGTCACTGGTGTGCTCGCTCACCACAGGGACTAGTCCAGTCCATCTTCACAATTTCCTGTGTGTACAAGTCCATTCTGGCAAACACTTTATGTCTTGGGGGCCTTCTGTCTTAAAGAGAGGGCTCATCTTCCAGCACTGTATATTAGTCAGTATCCTCGTGTGATCTCCTTTGAGGGTTTTCAGTGGGTAACTTTCAGAAGTAGGTTCCCAAACCTTTCTTCCTAGCCTGTCTTAGTTTGGAAGTTCCCTATTTGAACTATAGCTATACCAGCGGCATAGCTCCCAGGATCAGGACAGAACAGAAACCATCACAGTGTGGGTAACAGATGAGGTGCTGGTGTTGTCTCAGGTTACCAGTGGTTAAACATTTTGAGGCTTGCTTTGCCTTTAACATTCCTTCATTCTGTGGAGGAAATGTGGAGGAGATAAAGCTGGATATAGCTGACCTGTGACTGGAGGGCCCACCTCATTATCCCACTATGATGGGCCACAGCTTCCAGGCCCTGCAAGCCCTGTATACATGACCCTGGAGCTTGCTCTGCCTCCGGGCCTGATGAGTCATGGAGGCACAGGGTTTCCTGAAAGGGCACTGGGCACACAGCCCTGCCAAGGCCGAGGTGCAAGGCCCTACTCAGCTCACTTTGGGATGTCATGAAATACCTCTCTGATGCTTCTTTCTGACCCCACAGCAATTCTGAACTGCAGGGCCTCAGGTCACATAAGAGCTGTGCCCTGGAGCAGGTGCTCACTGGCTCAGAGGCCACTGCCACAGAGGAGGTAGGCCCATGTGACAGCTGGACACAGTGCCCTCTGCCAGCAGTGAGCTATCTGGAAGCCACCTGGCAATCCTCCTTAAGGGAAAGGGGTTGCCAGCACACTCACCATGACTCCTGTTGCCTTGTCAACAAAGCAACATAGATGCATCATAGACTTCACTACTGTCATAAACATGAAATGTCAGATGCAGCTATTGCCTTCTTTTTAAGTCTAATTGATGCCACTTCGCTTTCACAAATGACTGGTATTAACATCATTTTTGTTAACTGGAAGATACCTAAAGATTTTCAATTTTACCAAAAAAGGTGAAAAGTGACTCCAGGATCCTGCAGTTGCTTTGTAGTCAGCTATTACAGTGACAGCACACACCTCGATCAGTGAGAATGGCGCTGCCAAGATCATACCCTGGCACCGTATTCAGCATCTCCACACTGAGCTGCCACACATTTAAGCAGTGCTCCTAAGCACTATGTCTGTGGTATTTTAGGTTTGATGTGCTATTTGGTATGATAAATTCATACTAACTGCAGCTGTCTGGTCAGTTCCAACTCAAAGTGACCCTCAATCAGGTTTCTGAGGCTATAAATGTTTTTGGGAGGAGATTTCCTATTTTTCTCCCAAGGAACCAAGAGAGATGTGTGGCCTTTTGGTTAATGACAAAGAACTCTACTTATTTACTTTGGTATAATACTATGGGTCCTTTTTAGAGATAGGAAACTTGCAAAAAAAATTTCCAACGAAATTTACAGTAATTGCTTATTGGTTTTATCTTACAAATGGTTTCATGCAAATACTGTGCTTTTGGATAGCAGGGAAGATTATGGTTGGTAGGTGAAATGTAGGCATGTGTTACCGTCATCAGATCAGAATTATCATCACCATTTAGAGCAGGATGCTCATTTCCCCAGAAAATCTAGCTTATAAGCAGCAAAGCAAGAATCTAAGCCGGGGCAGTGTGGTCCTGTAGGAGAAGGCTGTGGCAGTCTGCTTCTGTAAAGAGTACAGCCTTGGAAGCTCCAGGAGCAGCTCTACCCTCTCCAGTCAGGGAGGTCTCTCTCTCACTGTCATCGAGTAAGAACCAACTCATAGCTGACCCTCCACTGGGCTTGCACAGCTAGAAATAGCTAGGGAGGACACTGTCCGTCTATCTCCCACATAGTTGCTGGTGGATCTGAACTGTCAGAGAGACGGCCTTTGAATAGCAGTGCAACTCTCTACAGACTACCCCACCAGAGCTCTCATCAGTGCCACGAGATGGAATAGACTTGACAGCAATGGTTACTTCAATTCCAGAACTCCACTAATGAAGAGAAGGGCAGTGTAAAGAACCACAAAGCCAAGAACAGCTCCTAGAGGGGCACCAAAGGCAGGATACATGTGTGGCTTTATTCTGGGCAGGCAGAGAAGACTCACCGCTTTACAACCGTGAAGTTACCAACGAACATAAAGTGCACTTGTGGGATTCTACTGCTGAGTCCATTGTGCCCCTGAATCTTCCTCTCTTAAACTGCTGAGCTGAATATATAATGGACAATAAGGTTACCATGGAGCCAGTGAGGGTTGGATAAAGCTAGGACCCAGGAGCCTGGTCTTTGATGGGGGAATTCTGGGCTACCAGCCAGAGGAGGCTCTCCAAGCTTGCAAAGTCAGTTCTTGTAAGTCACTCACTTATTCATTTACATGCCATGTACTATCTATAGACTCTATGTGCAATCTTATGCAAAACACATTTCCCAGGGGCCTTGCAGACACGTCTGGGTGTGACTGAGTTCAGCTAGGATTCACTGGGGAACTATTTGGAAAGCAGGAGGGTGGCAGAGGCATTCTTTGTGTGGCTATTGAGCCTGACAAGCAGGACCCTTTCCGAGTGAGTTTGGAGGCTGGACTCCACAATCATCATCTAGCTCCCACAATCAGGAGACTAAAATGAAGTAGCAGAAGCTGTGCTGGTAGCAGAAGCAGGACTGTTCCTGAATCTTAATCACTGCTCAACAAGTGTGGGCTTGAAACCAAAAATTGCCAGCAGCCTCTGCTTCTATCTTCCTGAGCTCTTAGCAGTTTGGTACACACACCTCAATCTCCTTCCGTTTAAATCACCCAGAACCATTTCTCTTTGCTGCGTTGATTCCTGGCTGATACAGTCAGTAACCAAAGGGTTCAGAACTCGAAGAACAAACATTAGAAATGTTTTTACAGTTTCATTAAAACTAATAATAATAATTAAAAAAATCGCTGACATAACTGAAAAAAATGTTTTTTTTCAGAAGTTCCTGTATTCTATACTAAAGTCAGGGAGCTCTGGTGGCCTAGTGATAAGAGGCGGCGCTGAGATCCCAAAGTTATATGGTTCTAATTCATCAGCTGCTCCATGGGAGAAAGATGGGCAGTTTCCTCCTATGCAATTAACTGCCTCTGAAAACCTGCTGGAGGGTTGGCTATGGGTTGGTTCCCCCTCAAGGGCACATGACAACAACAACAATAAAGCCAATAGTTAATATTAAGTTAGATATTATTTGTTCTGGTTTCAGAACCTTAATGGTAGAATTATATGTTTCATAGACTTTCAGGAAGTAGCCACAAAGGGATGTTGGTTCATGATCAACTATCATGCTTGGCTTGTCTTCTTCCTTCTGGGTTCGGACTTGGGCATGGCGGAAACTGCAGGTTTCAATCTATTGTACTAAGGGTCATTATGAATCAAAATTGATCCGATGGTACCTAGCTAGCCTCTCTGTTTATACCTAAGAAAACTTATGCTGCTAACTTCCTACTCTAACTTGAGGCACAGATGGAAAAGACAAGCAAGCTTCCTCTGTTCTCATATAAGGATATTGCACAACAGCAAACATGCAAACATATCAGTTGTTTGGTTTTTATTGACTGCCATCAGTTGAACATGACTCATAGCGACCCGATGAACAAAAGGCCTGAAGCCCCTCTACAACTATCAACGTTCATAGAGTTTCCAGAGGCATGTTGTTTAGGAAGTAGATGCCACTCCTGCTTCCAAAATTGTCTTAACTGGGAGCTCCACCAAACACTGTCCACCATGGGTGACCATTATGGCATTTGACTCCTCAACGGCACAAGGTTCAGCATCACAGCAACTGCAGGTTACCTCAGTACAGCATAGGACTGACGAGTGCTAGACCACTAAGAAGAATGTTCCTCTAGAATATATTAACAAACACTTTAGAACATAAGCAAAATATAAAAGTTTATCACCTTATGCTGTTTTCCTAAAAGAAAAGTGTTCTACCACCTCCTACTAACCTTACACAGGAATGGTGCAGTCTATGTCTTCCCAATACTGTTATTTTTGTTGTTATTGACTGCCTTCGAGTCAAATACAACTCATAGTGACTCTATGAACAAAAGGCTTGAAGCCCCTCTATAACTACAGATATTTATCAAAGTTAGGAAGTGGACAGTTAAAAAAACAAACAAACAAACAAACAAAAAACCAACTCAACAACAGAAGAGTTCTTGGATGGTGCAAATTGTTAATGCACTTAGCTACTAAATGAAACGTTGGTGATTAGAGTTCATCCCTAGGTCTCTTAAGAGAAAGGGCTGGCAATCTGAGAATCCTTTGGACATAGTTTCATGCTGACACACATGGGTCATAATGAGTTAGACGGATAGCAATTGATGTTACATTTATAGACGCAAACAGCACTCAAACACAGCAGAAAGCCAAGGAGGCCCTCAACTCATTTCCACAGAAGTAACAACACAATACTACTGACTTTTCCATAAATACCTTAGCACTTTCACAGTCTCTATCCATTCCTTCTGAAGACTTTCCCACGTGTCAACTTCTACCCACTTTGAATTCCTGGTTGCCAACTCTGCCATGATAACTCGGTGGTGGGCCGGGATGAGTCCTTTCTTCTTATACGCATCACCAACAGGAGAAATGATGCCTTTGACAACTTTATACTTTCCTGGGTAAAGAATTTGGATATTGGAATAAGAAATCTGATTTTAGTCATAGTAAAACTTTATGATCAATACGCAAACTTTTCCAGTCCTTGGAAAAAGACATCATGCTGAGAAAGACAGAGGATCAGCAGAAGAGAGAAGAAAGATGCTCAAGGTGATGGCCTGACACAGTGGCTTGTAACACTGGGATTCCGTGAGGCCGAGCAATGGCACAGCTTAGGGTAAGGGTCACATCACAGGGTCACTATGAGTCGTGGCTGACTTGATGGCACCTAACAATGGCAAATTCACTGTCATGGAATTACTTGCAATCCTCAGGGATCCTGCACGGGGTTTCCAAAGCCGTATATAACAGCAGGAGGAGCCTGCTCGTCTTTTTCCCATGAAGCAACTGGTGGATTCAAACCACTGGAGAAGCAGCCTTTTTATGAGCAGCACAACACCCTATGGAGCATACCTGAACTTCCCTTTGTTGTTGTTGTTATGTGCTGTCAAGTAGCTTGAGACTCATAACAACAGTCTAAACTCTGCTCTGTTCTGTGCCAATCGCACTGTCTCTGACACACCCATCCCGATTACCCCAGTCACTGAATCAATCCACCTCATAGAGGGCCTCCCCCTCCTGTGCTGCCCCTCCACCCTCCCAAGCATGATGTCCCTTCTCCAAGGACCAGTCCCTCCTTACAACATGTCCAAAGTATGTCAGACAAGGCCTCAGGAACCTTGCCTCCAAGGAGCCACCTGGTTTAACCCTCTCCAAGATGAAACTGTTTGTTTTCCTAGCAGTCCATGGTACCCTCAATACTCTTCTCCAGCACCACAGCTCAAAGGCATCAATTCTCCTTCTATCCTCCTTAGTCATTGTCCAACTCTCTGATATATAACAAGTGACAGCAAAGACCATGGCCTGTATCAGATGCACTTTAGTCTACAGAGAGACACCACTGCTCTTCAGTACTTTGGAGAGGTCCCTAACAGCAGACTTTCCCATCGCAATATGTCTTTTAATTTCCTGGCTGCTGTTGCCAAGAGTGTTGACTGTGGAGCCAAGCAAACTAAAGCTGTGAGCAATTTAAATCTCTTCACCATCCATCCTGATGCTACCAATTGGTCCAGTGGTGAGAATCTTTGTCTTCCTGACATTGAGCCTCAATCCATATTGAAGGCTGCAGTCCTTGACCCTCTGCAGCAAGCACTTCAGGTCCTCCTCAGTTTCAGCAATCAGGGTTGTGTCATCTTCATATCGTAGATTGTTGATAGATCTTCCACCAATCTTGACCCCACATTTCTTCTCACAGAGCCCCGCCTCTCGAATAATCTGTTCTGCATATAGGTTGAAAAGGTATGGAGACAGGACACATCCCTGGCATACGCCCTTCCCAATTTTGAACCATGCAGTGTTTCCTTGCTCTGTTCTGAAGACTGCCTCTTGGTCCAAGTATAGGTTTCTCATTAGCGATCAAGTGTTCTGGGATTTCCATTCTTTTCAGAGTCAGCCACAGTTTGTTATGATCCACACAGTCAAACGCCCTTACATAGTCAATGAAACACAGATAGACATTCCTCTGGTACTCCCTGCTTTAAGCTAAGATCCATCTAACATCAGCTACAATATCCCTAGTACCACTACCCCTTCTAAACCCAGCCTGGACTTCTGGCAGTTCTCTGATGATGTGCTGTTCCAGTCATTTTTTTATAATCTTCAGCAGAATCTTGCTTGCATGTGAAATAAATGATATTGTCCTATAGTTTCCACACTCTGTTGTCACCCTTCTTTGGAATGGGAAAATATATAGATCTCTTCCAATCAGTTGGCCAAGTGGTTGTTCTCCAGATTTCTTGGCACAATTTGGTGAGCAGGTCCAGGGCAGCACCTGTTAGCTGAAATATGTCAACTGGTATACCATCTATTCCTGGGGCCTTATTTTTTGCTGTTTCCTTCAAAACAGCCTGAACTTCTTCCTTCATCACCATAGGCTCTTGCTCATATGTTGTTTCATGAAAGTATCTGGTAATGACATATTAGAACTTTCCTTATGAGGACCAATACTGTATTATAGTCATAGATTCTACTTTCTCAACCTTTAGTTCTCTGAAAGTAACTTTTATTACTAGTTAAAAAGAAGGAAAAATAAATTGCTCATAGTAAGTCTTCAGGAAGCTCTGGTGGCCTAATGGTAAGAAGTTGTGCTGCAACTGCAAAGATACATGGTTCAAATCTCCCAGCTGCTCTGTGGGAAAAGGATTGGCAATCTCCTGCTGTGTAAATAACTGCTTCTAAAAACCCACTGGAGGGTTAGCTTGGAGTCAGTTTTGACCCAAAAGCTATGGTTCAGTTCCAACTCTAAAGCACATAACAGTATTCAAAGAGTACTGTTGCTGTTAGTTGCCATCAGAACCTGCATAAAGAAGTTGCATTGTAATCTGAAAGGCATGCAGGTTTTATTTTAATATACATTAATTGTTGTATTAATTGTCCAAAGTCCTCAACACTTGTGTGTATTTTATCATTATCCTCAAGAAGCCAGAGGCTGCTTGCAGCTGACACTCAGTGGCATGGCGTGACCTTTAAGTATCTTACCACATTATGAAGCATGCCCAAATGCTGGCAAACTCTGGGCGAGATACCCCCAGCTTATCTGGCAAGTCCACTCTGCAAACCCCCACCTGGGGCAAAAAGAACACCACAAGTGCCCGGATCCCTCCATATCTGTGGCTCCTCAGGAAGCCAGAGGCCATGTGCAGCTGACACTCAGTCTCCATACATTAATAGTGAATGGATAATACTGACAGTAGTTCTACCTAACACACACATTTCTACCTAACACTCCTCTGTATCCAAGACCTTTTAAAGTGTCCTAACTTTTGATTTTATAAAGATACCTGCTACTATCCAATGTTGATTACGGTATGAAATATTTGTTTTTTATACTGCACTCCAAGAATAGGAACCTTGTCCAGAGACATTCTTACCATATTTACATCTGTATGGACTTAGTTATCGGAAGGGCAAGCTTTCCAGAACCAAAAGATCACATGGTGGGCTTCCTGGCCCATGGAGCACAAAAGCTGAGTGTTCTCGTAAGACATCTCAGTAGAATGGGGTAAATCTACATACTCATTGGTGGCACTAAAAGAGCTTTATATCACCAAAGAAGACTTTCAAGATGGCAAACAAACACATGAAGAAAGGTTCAAAATCCCTAGCTCTAAGAGAGATTCAAATCAAAACAACTAGGGGAGCTCTAGTGGCCTAGTGGTAAGGAGCTGCAACTACAATCCCAGAGGCGCACGGTTCGAATCCACCAGATGCT